ACGTCAAGGCCAGAGTCAGGGCTTAGGGACACACTAAGCATTGTCCAATACAGCCATGAACCACAGGTAGCTTTTTCAATGTAATTCCACATGAATTAAGCAAACTGTTGAAGTTCAGGTCCCCAGTCTCACAGCCACACTCCAAGCACTCAGTACCTGTACCTGGCGAATGGCTGCCACAATGGACAGGAGACACAGACAATTTCACCTGCATAGAAAATGCTGTTGGAGTGGGGCAGGGAGGGCTAGTGGCCTCTTACCCCAACCTCCCCGCTGGGCAATGTCATAGCCCTGGGCCTGGGCAGTGCCCAGGGAAAGTCAGAGAGGACCCATCATCCTCAGGTCTCCCCTGGAAAATGGCACCTCCAGGAAACAAGTCTAATTCCAGATGAGCCTGCAATTCCCCTGCCAGGTCGCTGAGAGGGCGAGGGGGACCAGGAAAGGGAGGCGGGATGCTGCCAACTCTCTACCCCACACGGGGTGCTCTCTTACCGATGGGGCAGCAGTCACAGCACGATGAAGTACCAAAGCCACAACCAAGCCTTTGACTTAAGGCAAATGTTTAACTTTGAGAGCCGAGTCACATGCAGCAAACACACCGCTTCCCATGTGTAATTGAGTAAAAATCGCAAAACCCACGCCCCAGTTGAAACTCACTCTGCGTGTTTCAGTGGAAGGAGCAGCAGCTGTTTCTTCTGTTCAGGCTCACAGCCCTCACTGCCACCAGAGGGCGGGAGGTTCTGGGTCCCCCTCCCCGCTGAAATGTCCCACAGCCATGCTCACTTCTTCCAGCAGGCTGCTCCGAGCTCTCATCCCTCTCCCTTCCTTTGCAGAGGACCCCGTTATCCAGAGCTTCCTGGAAGCTGACATTTTCCTCAAAGTGTCTGACAAGGTATCGGCAGCACAGAATGATGAATGACCGAGGGGTCTGCAGTCACCAGACTATGGGGGGCCGGTGCAGAGTAGGATCCCTGCCTGGGCAGGAGCATCCCTGGAAAGACCTGCTTTTGGTGCCATCTCTTCCCCAGGCCTCCCCTCAGCTCATCCCAACCCCCCGTCCGAGGGCCCTGAGACCCTCAGCCGTCCCCCGAGCGTCGTCCCTCACAGCGCTGTGCCCACAGTACCTGCTGTCCATGGTGGTGGAGTACTTTGGCCGTGTCGGGCTGCCCGGGCATCTCTACAACAAGATCCACTTCTTCCTGGCCCTGTGAGTGCCTCCTTGGAAACTGTCCCCAGTTCTGTCCAATACTCCCACCCCACAGACTCCCTGGTTCCACTGCCCATGTCCTGGCAGTCTCAAGAGGGGGTTCCCCTTGGCCATGAAGGAGGCAGGCCATGAGTAAGGTCCTGGGATACGGAAAGTAGGCAGGAACACTTGCTGCCCAGAGATGAGGCACTGAGGGAAGACATGAGGGAAATGGGAGCTAGGAGCCTGGCCTGGGCTAAGCCCAGCAGAGCCCCGTCAGGCTTGCACTGAGGACAGTCCTGCTGCCCCTAGACCCAGGCCCCCTACAGAGAGGGCTCCCCCAGAGCCTCTCTCCTGGACACACTGCCCCGCTGTGTGCGGAGGCTGGAAGTCGTCACTGGGCCCATATAAGATTCCCTCTTTCTCTGTGGCAGCTACATCGCCTCCGACATGGAGGAGGACAACCCCACCGCCAAGTGCAGCATATTCCAGTTCCTGCTGGGCAGGGAGCACTGGCTGGAGCTCTACAGGGAGTTCCTGGGTCTGAAGGTGAAGTTCTTCCATGCGATGGGGCACCAGGCCTGGGTCACCCAAGAGATATGTGAGGAGGTGTGGCCCTCGGGAGGAGGCCGGGCCACCTGGGGTGCTGGGCTGGGCCCTTCCTCCAGGTGCTCACTCCCTTTGCTTCTCTTTCAGATCCAGGCCCGGAATCCACATCACTGGGTCTGGGGTCGGGGTCGCCAGTGCATCCCCTAATCTCCCAGGGAGTGAGCAGGGGGCTGCTGGTGGTCAGGTGAGTGCAGGCGGAGGCTGGGCTCTGCAGAGTCAGACAGCCCCACCTCTGTGACCTATAGTCACCGCAGCTGGGCTGGCGGCCTGAGGAGGAAGCTACTGCCTTCCTCAGTGCTCTGAGAACTCCTATGGTAGGAAAAGTACCTGTGTTTACATCAAAATTCTCCAAATGAATGGACTGTGGAATCATGTACTATGCAACACAAGCCCCAATTTGCATATTAATTTTTTTCTTTTAAGAAGTCTTAGAAATGCTGAAGTAAGTAATGAAAACCTCTGCAGGGTTTTTATCTGCCTTGAAAGTTTTGAACATAAACACAAGAGAACACTGAGGTCACCCTTTCTGGAAAGGGGCTAGGACCATGGAGACTCTGGGAGGAAAGAGAAGATGGGCTCCGGCACTGCACTGCCGCTTGCATTCCTCCCAGGTGAAGCGAGCGCCCAAGCTGTGCCCTGAATGAGGTCAGGGACAGGGACGGGGCTCCGGGGCTCTGGGAAAACAAGATTGCTGGGGAGAGGAAGCAGGTGCACCATGAGCTGTGAGAAGAACACAAGACAACACATTTATAGAGAATGGCCTCCTCTATCATCACTCTTTGGAGAATGTGTTCTTGGTTTAAATTTCGGTTTTACATTTATTCTTACTTGAAGTGGGGAAACCCTTTCCCTGGGCAGAGGTGGTGCTGGAATAACCAGGTGTGGGAGCCACGCTGCACAACAGGAGTGCTAGAGCCTTACTGGCCCTGGGGAAGGAAGGCAGGCCAGGTGCTCTGACATAAACCACAAAGTTTAATTCATCCACAGGCTTTTTATTGAGGACCAAGAACTATTGTATGTCAGGGATCTTAAAATTCTAAGAAAATAGCATTTTTAGCACAATAAAAAGAAGAAGCAAACAGAGGTAAGGGGGCCCCGCTGGCGTCTGGTCATTTATAGGAGCAGGAAGGCGATGCTGATTTCCCGAGCTTCCCAACGTGCAGCCTGTGGCAGGGTTTGCCTTCCCCTCGGCTCTGGTCTCACTTTCTTGCTTTTCTTATAGCTCCCGCCCCTTCTCCCCCTTCTAGATATGGAAGCTGCTGCCTCCTTCCCAGGCTCCAGGTGGCACCAACATGGGGCTTCCAGCTTCCTCAGAACTGCAGGAGGGACGATGCAGGGAGCACAAACCACAGCAGCTGTGCACAGTGGCCCCCGACCCCCCAGTAGGTGTCAGCCAGCAAAGGTCCCTAACCCCAGATGTCCCAGCAGTAGTGTGGAGGGGCACCCAAGGGAACCGAGAGGCTGGAGCAGGCACCTCTGTGAAGACTAAGGACCTGCAGAGGAAGAAGGGATGGACTACCGAGGAGGAAGAACCTGAGGGGGAGGCCAAAACATGACTGGAAGACAGTGAGGAAAGAGGAGATGGGAGTGGAGAAACACAAGAGAGAGGAGGCGGCCCACCCACTCTACACCATCAGCACGGGGACAGCTGTGCTGGAAGCCCCTCCTGACAACCTGCACAGCAGTCTTGTCCAATGGAGAGATGGTGAAATTTCAGCCACAGGACTAACGGACACTGGAGCCTACTTATTGGTGTGTCCATCTGAGGCTGATAAAAGAGTAGGAATAAAAGGGAGAGACTGTATACCATTGTATCCTCTGGCATTGTAGAAATAGCACGACAAGTGGAGGAGTAGGTACATGAGGTGGAGCAGCATGCCTACTTCCTGCCAACAGACTATGACTGGAAGTGACATGGCCACTTCTGGGCCAAAGCCCTTGAGAGCAGGGTATTGCCCAGCTCTTCCATTGCCATGGCTCTGAAAAGGCTGGGATGGTGAGAGCTACACTCAAGATTTTTTGAGAACCCATTAAGTAGCTGGAATTGATTCTGACGACCCTGGCATGCCTGCCCAAGAGCACGCTGCCCAGAGTATCATTTTTGCTCCCTGCCAACTAATCACAAGGCCCAACATAGAGACAGGGTTGTCTCCAGATTGTGCAATCTTCTGCTCTGCTCCTGTATAAAGCCCTATTTTTGCTTTTGTTGACAACATTGTAATGACCATTTTCCCTCACACATAAGAGTTCATATGTGTTAAGTCACTATCTCTCAAGTCGTTCTTCAATCAGAGAAAAGCATACAAATTACAAACAATTGAGAGTGCAGGCAAAGCAACAGTAGTCAAGATACTGAGTTCTTTAAATCTAGATTGAAATGGAATTTCTATAATGTACCATTTTATCTCTTTTTAGGTAAAGAAGAAAAACTATTTAAGCGTGAAGGGAAGCACATTTCGCCTTTGGGGCCAGCTGCATCTCACCCACTGCAGGAGCAGTCACTGGGGCAGGAGAGCAGATGGAACCCTAGCAGCAAGGGAGCCAGACCTGCTGCCTCTAGCTGCATGTCTGGGGAATGGCAGCACCCGCTGCAAGAACCAAGGCCACGGGATTGTTGCCAAAAATCTCCATGGAACTGTTTTTATTTGCTCTAATTTTCACTTTTAAAGCTAAACACACAGTTCAGGAAGTGAACATGTGATGTGACTACAGCTTCTACCAGTTTACGGTCCAAGTGGCCTCAAGAAGCACAGAGCACAGGTCACAGTGGAGACAGCAGGAGCTGGAAACACCTCCATGAGTACCTTTCATCTTCTAGTCCAGAGACCCCTAATACAGATGAATATTCTTACATCTTGGATGGAAACAGACAATTTCTGAAGCTATATCTTACAGTGGAATGTCATATTTTCTCTATCTAGAACAGGCTTCAATTTGGGTAATTCTTCCTTAGAATATAAATCTCCCATTTAGATGATCAATCATACTTTCTGGTACAAACTAATTTAAACAGGACAACTGTGACATCTTAGAAAATGCTGAAGGACTTATGTTGATGTAGAAAATTTTAAAATCTTTAAAACCTGCATTTTTGAGCATAAGGTCACTTCACTTGAATCACCACAGATGAAGGACTTTAGAAACCAATGTCCAGCCCAGACTCCACTGCTCTAACCTCTGGAACCCCAAATGAAATCATCAAGAGTTCTGAAAACAAACCAAAAAACTTTATTTAAAAAAGTAAATTCTAACTCACTTTTATAGATCATGTGTTAATGCTGACAGCAACAGTCTAGAATATTTAAAACACTAAGGTTTTAAAATACATTGAGGTTTGTGCAGCTCATTTCCCCTGATTATATTATAACACTTACAAATGTTTCTTTAGCTGTGTTGTTTGGTCATGTTTTTGTGCAGAAGTCACATTGCAGGACAGTTTTTCCACCAGAGGCAATCACATAACCATTGGCTGTGGGTTTCCAAGAAGCAAAGGAGCCAATCTTAGCAAAGCTCGTACAGGCATTTTCAGCTGCTTGCATTTGAAGAGTAGTTCCGCAAAGCTTGTGCTCCCTAAAGAGATGCAAATGGTGGGAAAGGTCACACCTCTCAATAGATTCAGCCCACATCCTCCTTCAAGGAGACAGCTTCAGCCAGGTTAGAGTTGGCATTCTTCCCTTTAAAATCAACTACCCAAACACAACATTAAAATTATGAATTTCCCTAAGCACTGTAAAACATAATTTAATGCAAACATTTAAATTTATTCATTCTGTACTTCAGAAAGTGACCTATAACTAACTATATGTGAAACTATTTTTTTAATTACATATATTATTTAAATACAATTTGAAAACTAAAAATAACTTTAAAAAATCAATTAAGAGAGAAAAACAATATGAACATTTAGTTTGTTGGTACGTACAGGTTGTTTGGGCTCTGTGAGGAAGAACCCAACTTTTTTTTTAATGCTTTTATTTTTTTAAATTTATTATTAAGTTATTACATATGTGTCCTTAACCCCTCATTACCTCCCATCCCCCCCACTCATGCCCTCACCCCCCTGTTGTCAGTGTCCTTTGGTTAGGCTTATATGCATGCATACAAGTCCTTTGGTTGATCTTTCCCCCTTACCCCCACCCTCCCCTACATTCTCTCTAAGGTTTGGCGGTCTGATTGATGTTTCTCTGTCTCTGGATATGTTTTTGTTCATCAGTTTATGTTCATTATATTCCATAAATGAGTGAGATCATGTGATATTTATCTTTCTCTGACTGGCTTATTTCACTTAGCATAATGCTTTCCAGTTCCATCCATGCTTTTGCAAATGGTAAGAACTCCTTTTTTACCACAGCGTAGTATTCCACTGTGTAGATGTACCAGATTTTTAATCCACTCATCTGCTGATGGGCCCTTAGGCTGTTTCCAAATCTTAGCTATGGTGAATTGTGCTGCTATGAACATAGGGGTGCATATATCCTTTCTAGTTGGGTTTCTAGTTTCTAGTAACCCATCTTTTTCTGAATGTAAATAAAAGTTTATGCATGTGGAAAGTTTAGAGAGTTTTTGTCAGAAAAGGTTCTAAAAAGTAACATCCACCCATGAATGAAGACAAAAACCCCCAAGAGAAAATAACTCGCTAGATATGTCTCCTACCAAGAAACTAAAAACCTAAGTGATACTGAAAAGAGGGATTTAGGTTTGCAGTACCTTCCAGTCCTACTGATGGCAGGTGCCGCGGAGCTGGTACCGAGTGGTAGACAAGGAAACAGGCCAGCATACTCAGCTGAGACTCTTCCCAGGGCTGCCCACTGAGATAGGCATGCAGGCACACATCACCCCCAGCTGTGAGAGAAACACAAATGAAACTACACACCTGACAGGCAGAGGGAATGCCTTCTTTTTATTCTTTTTCATCAAGAACTCAATGAGCATTTACCATATACTAGGCAGGGACTGTCGCTGCAGAGTTTAGAGTTGGGGGGAACAGAGAGATCACACAAACAAATGCATAACTGCAAATTGTGATGGGTGCTATAAAAGTACAGTGGCACACTAGCTGTCTCCACAAACACCCACTTTACCACACTTCTCTCCACTGTGTAGCACTGGAAGGGACTGACTTCCGCTCCAAGACTAGATTCTAATTAGTCTTAGCCAGAGGTTCTCAAACTTGAACCCAGAGAGCTGATTAAAACACATCCAGAATTTCTTGAATGAGACCAGAAAACTTGCATTTACAACACGTGCCCAGGTGCTGCTGCTCCAGCGGACCTCACTTACAGAACTAGTGGTCTGGGCACCAGGCAATCCCATTCTCCCAACAGGACAGGGTCAGGAGAAGGACATTCTCTGTCACGGGAACTAACTGAGGAACGTCCAGGAGTTCCAGTTCAAGTCCCAGATGTGAGATGCTGGATAACCCATTAGGTGAAAGCTCTGGGAAACAAAAATGTCCTAATTCCTGTGGCAAAGCACCAATAAGCCATTCTATCCTTCCTCTGAGCAAAATGCTGAGCCTGAGGCAAGGAACTGCTAGTCACTGATCCAAGTTTTTGCTTCAAGAAAATAGAAAAAGAAAAGCTTGCTTTAGGTTTATTTTGCTTCTCGTTTTCTAGTTTCTTATAGCAGGAACTTAGATTAGTGTCTTGAGACTGTTCCTCTTTCATATTGTAAGCATTTACTGCTATAACTTTCCCTCTCAACATGATGACTCCTACTACCAGATTTCAGATTTTACTCTGAACCTGCAGTAATTAGGACAGTATAGTCCTGGCATACAGACAGACTGACCAACCAAGGGTACAGCACTTATAGAAACAGATTCACAATGATTATTCAGCATATGATTTCCAACAAAGTCTCAAAGCAATTTTATTACAAAGAAAAGTCTTTTCCACAAATGGTCCTGGAACAACTGGACATTGTATTAATTTTAAAAAAAATTTCAACTCGTACCTCATACCACATAAAAGATTAATTTGAGATTAATCATATACCTAAATATCCTATATAATAAAAGCCGAATATGCTAAGTGTCCATTCAACCAAAGCGTAATATACTAATGATATGCTAAAGCCGCTCAACCACTCGCTAGGACATGCACTGACCCCCAGGGAGCAGACAGTTGACCATCAACTAGTTGCTATGAGGTGCACTGACCACCAGGGGGAAGATGCTCCGACAGACAGGTGAGCTTGCTGCTGGGGTCCGGCAGATCGGGACTGAGTGAGAAGGGCTGGACACACCTTGAAACCCTACCGGGGTCCCTTCCCGGCTGGCCAACCTCCCGCATCCCTCCCCGGCCTGATGTGCACCAATGGGGTCACTTGGCCTGGCCTGCATCCTCTCCCAATCTGGGACCTCTCAGGGGATGTCAGAGAGCCCGTTTTGGTCCAATCCCACAGGCCAGACTGAGGGACCCCACTGGTGCATGAATTTGTGCACTGGGCCTCTAGTAAAAGATAAAATTGCAAAGCTTTTAATAGAAAACTTTAAAGTTTTTTCATGACCTGGAGTAGGAAGGGTTTCTTGGACAGTATTTGCAGAGTAATAACTATACAACAAACTGAGAAATTAAACCTCATCAAAACTTAAAACTTCCGTTCATCAAAAATCACCCTAAGAAAAGGAATAGGCAAAATGTAGGAGGACATATGTGCAAACCATCTCACAAAGAACTTGTGGCCAGAATTTGTAGAAGCTCCTGCAACTCAATAACCAAAAGAAAGACAATTTAAAAATGGGTAGATGTTAAACAGACACTTCACAAAGGGTGTATGAGTAACAAAGAAAGCACATGAAAATAATCAACACCATGAATTACCAGGGAAATGCAAATTAAAACTAAATGAGTCACCACTACATCTTCACCAGCAGCCTAACATTAAATGGACTGACAATGCCAAAAACTGCACTGCAGCCCACTGCTGGTGGGGACAGAAAAATGGCACAATTTGAGAAATAACTGAATGTGGCAGGTACAGATGACAGAAGGATGGCAGAATGCTGGTGGATGCTGAGGCCAGGTGACAGGCTTATTAAACTACTGTTCACTTTATTATGTTTTAATTTTCCATAATAAGATATTAAAAAGTTAATAAAACCTCTCTACGTTCTTAACTTAAAACCCATTTTATTTTGCTCAGTTTAAAATCTAATTGAGGAGACATATACACATCTAGACAATATGGTAAATCCAATGCATTTTTGGATGGATGCGTGATCTGGGTTATTACTGAGTGGCCTTAAAAGTAAGGCAAAACAGCCGAAACCGGTTTGGCTCAGTGGATAGAGCGTCGGCCTGCGGACTGAAGGGTCCCAGGTTCGATTCCGGTCAAGGGCATGTACCTTGGTTGTGGGCACATCCCCAGTGGGAGATGTGCAGGAGGCAGCTGATAGATGTTTCACTCTCATCGATGTTTCTAACTCTCTATCTCTCTCCCTTCCTCTCTGTAAAAAATCAATAAAATATATTTAAAAAAAAAAAAAAGTAAGGCAAAACATGAGGACATTTCCATGATGATGCATACATCAGTTCTACATCTTCACTGAATTTATTGTGCTCTATCCCAAAGCCAGCAACTAGTTCTTCTGAGAGTGGAGATCATAGATTTAAGAGTTTTAAAAAATGATGGTTCCTCACTAGAAAATAAATACACATTTTTAGGAACTGAGGCAGCAAATTTGGTGGAGGCTCAGAGCAATGCTGGAACCATCAAGTGTCCTAAAGAGCAATAGGACAAAAGCAGTTCAGTGCTGTTTTAGAGAATGCTCTAGAGCAGTGGTCGGCAAACCGCGGATCGCGAGCCACATGTGGCTCTTTGGCCCCTTGAGTGTGGCCCTTCCACAAAATACCATGTGCGGGCACATACAGTGTGATTGAAACTTCGTGGCCATGCGCAGAAGCCAGTTTTCGGCCTGGGCTAGTCTATTTTGAAGAAGTGGTGTTAGAAGTGGGGGGTGTCGGTCGGTTGGGTGACAGAGACGCGGCACAGGCCAGCACGGGATAACGCAGCACAGGGGAGGCGCGTGCAATTCATGTTGAGGATGGGAGAGTTGGAAGGGGTCGACCGCAGCGAACGTACCTCAATTGAGGTATGTTTTTAGCAAAGGCCAGCTTAGGAGTACCCTAATTAAGTTAATAACAATGTCCCTACCTATATAGTTTAAGTTTAAAAAATTTGGCTCTCAAAAGAAATTTCAATCATTGTACTGTTGATATTTGGCTCTGTTGACTAACGAGTTTGCCGACCACTACTCTAGAGTCACTGCCAAAGTTTCATTTCATTCTATAAAATCTGCAAATCAGAGATTTAAGGACATATTTCTTAACAACAGCAAAGGTCTGCAGTACATGATAAAATGCTAAATAGAAACAAAACAAGAAAGCCTATAAAATAATTTGTGTTTTTCCCCAAAGTAAGAAAAAATATATTTAAAAAAATTTGTGCGCTCTTTTAAATGACAAGAGGAAATGATAGGGTACACGTGTTAGATATAAGCACTGGGAGCTTGGAATTGCTGTTTCCCAAATCTGGTTTATAATTTAATTTTTTTCCAGAAATTTATGTCATAGTATTTTATTATAGGTAGGTAGCTTTCCTTTGCTGTTTTTTTCTTTTTAATATATTTTTATTGATTTCAGAGAGGAAGCAAGAGAGAAAGAGAAATACAAACATCGATGAGAGAGTATCATTGATCAGCTGCCTCCTGCACACCCAACAACACAGGCATGTGCCCTGACCAGGAATCAAACCATGACCTCCCAGATTCATAGGGTCAACACTCAACCACTGAGCCACACCAGTTGACCTAGGTAGATAGTTCTTAACTTAATTATAGTTAAACTCTTAGGTTCTTGATCACTAGTACATTAAAAAATCAAGAATGTTACCACTAATGTTACTAGGGTTAGTATTTACCCAAAGCAGATTGCTGTCAGAAATGTTTAAGAAGTATCTGAATGAACAGAAAAGACTAAAAGCAAGGAGTTAACTACTAAAAACCAATCTCAGCCATATGTCACACACAGACAGCTTTCCATAAGTCAAAAGGCTCCATCATTTGTCTCAGGGGGCAGACTCACTTTGACACTTATGAGTAATGTCACAATTTCCTTTCAATCACAAGTCAGTACATCCACGGATAGAAGGCCACTGTTACATGATGTCCCAGGTTCTCATGAACTCAAGAGTTGGTAAAACAAGCACTTGCTCAAATTTTCAGTGTACAGTGGGGGTGGGGGCTTGAGGGTCTAGGGGAGTAGAGAAGAGGGAAGAAGACAGCTGCTGGCCTCAGGGAGGCAATGCCACTCAGAAACAAAGACAGAGGCCAGAAGGAAAACATGATCTGGCACTAGAGAAAGGTTCTTAAGTGTCAAGTGCTATTTAAAATGCTCTGTGTGTTCTCTCCAGGGTTTACAAAGCAGGGTCAAATACATTTTTAAAGAAGCTGAAGGCTGAAGCAAGTAATCAGTCTAGTTCATTAACTGGAAACATTAAATCCACAGGCGTTCTGGTTTCCCCTCAGATTCGTCTTGCTTTCCAATGAGAATGTTAGAACAGAAAAGCTGAGTCCCAGCATCACCTAAGAAGCATAACAGGCACAGGCTTTTATTACCTTGTAGCCACTGGTCCAGGGTGTTATCAATAGAACATTTCACGACGGGCAGGAACTCAGAGTTCATGAAGAGCCCTCGCTTTGGGTGGGTCTGCAGCCGCTCCTGATGGCTTCTGGAGCTGAAAAACTCCAACACCAACTTTATTTGCCAAAGTTCAGATGTCTCAGACATTTCTCGTCTTCCCAGTCTTCTTACAGCCTTGAGGAGAGAAAAGGAATAGCTCTTAGGTAAAAGCCACAGGGAAATGAGGTCACTGAAAAAAATGAAAACCCAACAGGTCCACAGCCAGTCACCACTGGGAACCCTGGTGGGTATCATGGCATGACTGAGGTCAGGCCAGAAGGCAAAAGCAACAATTCTGATAATACTGCTCTTGGGACCCATCTGCAAAGCCGCCATGGTGGCAACCATACAGGACATTCCCTCCACAGAGACCTCCTGAGACAGCAACAAGGAAGGTTCACAGCCGAAGGAAAGCACATTCCCTGCCACAATGGCAACCAGCACCAGTGTGCACTTCCCACATTGACACTTCCTACTCAATATTATCGGAGACCAGGCAGTGAGGCATCTGGGCCTATGTGATTATATTGGACACTGCCTTTTAGTTAGCACATTGCTCAGTACGGTGTGATTTTCAGGTCTGGGAGATTGTTCCCTGTCTAAATGTATTTCCCACTCTGCTTTTCAGTAGAGACAATTATGCCATTAGATGATTTACCAGATGCTTATCTGTAAACACACTGTATCATATTCACCTGAAGAGCCCTTTAAAACTATACACCCTAGACCTCATCCCAGAAATTCTGACCCAGTAGCTATAAAATGGGCTTTGAGGAACTGTGTTTTTAAGATTTCCCAGATAAATTTTAGCCAAGTTAGAAAACTACTGGCTTAGCTTAACTGCAAATTTGAGTCTGAAAGATATACTGCAAAAAAGCCTTATGTGTTACTAATAACCCAGAGTGAATCAATTGCTTCCATCCTGTAGGAAAGCTGTCAAGCATCATTTCCTGCACTGCCCTTTTAAAACAGCAGGAACACACACACACAAATTAAAAACAAATTTCCACTCCCTAAACTATACACTGGTCCTGTAACCGCTTGCTAGCTTCAGCTCACAGGTGTGCACATGACTGCCAGCAGCAGGCACAGGCTGTTCACCCACTGCTCCCTTGCACCGTCTCCTCCACGGAGAGGCTCTCAGGTGGGAGGTCAGAGGCCACACAAGGAGGTGAATGGGAGCCCTGAAGTAAGGTAGCCCAGAGAGGGCACTGCTGTCATAAAAGATGCTGAGCTTTTTTGATAAGCACAGAGCTTTCAACTTTGATAAAGCTTCATTTTCTGAATTTCTAAATGCAGAGAAGTAAAAAGATGAACACTGGGAACCTCTTCTCCCCGTTCAGAATACGTCTCGTCAGAAGTGAACTAGGTTTCGGAACCACACCTGATCCATTGCTATGTATGCAGGCAGCATCTCCGGGGTCTCCTGAGTAACGCACTCGTAGAGCACTGACGAAAACAGGTCCAGAAGTTCCTGCTTCTGAGAAAAATCAGAAGCTGTTTGTAGCACATCAGTGTACATTCCAGAATCAAATCAAGAACAACTGTGTACCAACTAAATGGCCCATTCTTTTTTTTAAAATATTTTTATTGATTTCAGAGAGGGAGGTAGAGGGAGAGAGAGAAACATCAATAATGAGACAGAATCATTGATTGGCTGCCTCCTGTACACCCGCTACCAGGAATTGAGCCCATAACCTGGGCATGTGCCCTAATGGGGAATTGAACTGTGACCTCCTGGTTCTTAGGTCAATGCTCAACCACTGACCCACACTGGTCCATTCTTAAGCTCTGCAGTGAATAATAGAAAAGGGTAAAACAGCTGGCTCTTTATAAAATCACAGCACTAGCAACATTAAAAATCAATAAAATACAACCAAAATTAAGTCCCAAGGGACAGTTATGGATGTAAGTGCTATGAAGGAGAGAAGTGAATCAATCCTTGGGTTGTGCTGGCAAGAGCAGGATCCAAAAAGAGAACCCAGCACCCAAAGATGTAGTAGAAACACTAAGCGGAACAAGTCTGGGGGAGGCAGCAAAGTCACACCCAGCTGAGGTTAAGGGCACGTACAAGTCCTGTGGCCTTTGGTGCAGTGCCCGGTCTTTACTTAGCTGCAATCCCGAGCATGTGACATCTCTGAGTGGCAGTTTCCTCAGCTGTAAACCCCGAATGATAAAGTACCTACCCTCAGGGTGAGAATTAAATGAGAAAATTACATGAAGTACCGAGCAGAGTGTCTAATACAGGCATCCCTCATTTTACTGCACTTGCTTTACTGCGCTTCACAGGTGTTGCACTTTTTTATGAATTGAACACAAGGCCCTCCTCCGACAAAAATATGATGACCTGCATCACCATGAAACCCACATCACTATGGCACCTGTGTCATCACGGTGGTCTGGAACCCAACTCACAAAACCTCCAATGTATGCCTGAATGCAGTAAAGATTCAATATATTAGAGGGTACAGGTTATTTCACTTTACCCTTTAAACAAGAATGTAAGGTAGGTTCTCTTTTAATCCCACTTTTAAAAATGAGGTAACTGCCTCTTGGAGAGGTTAAAACTTTTTTTAAGGCCACACACACTCTGGTTGGCAATTGGCCATCAATCCCAGATCATCTAATTCTACATCCAGTCTTTGCCATCTGCAACTATTGAATAAATCAGTGATCTGGGCAACCTGTGAATCCTGAACAGTTTTATGGTCAAAAGAAAGAAGGGTTATAAAATACACAGGAAATAAATAAAATTACATAAATATAAGAGGTTTGTAAACACTGAAAACATAAATCAGTATAAGAACGGACATAAGAAAATTACATCACCTATTAAAATTAGTGTCTTCAAAATTTTAACTTGCTTCTTCTATCAAGGTAGGAAATTACTAAATTTTATAGTTTTAGACTATGTAAGGGCACGATAAATTTTCTTGGTGGCATCCACAGATAGCCATAATAACAAACAATATAAGCAAATCATATAATGCATACCTGACCCATGTTCACAGTGGGTTTGCAAAAATACTCAGCAAATGACAGAAGTGCTGGATCAGAAGTGAATGCTGAAATTGTTTCAGGCTAAAAATTAAATAACAAGAAATATAAGTAAAATCAAAGGATTATTTCCTTTATGCTTCAAATGGCAACGTATGCAGTTTTAAGAAATCTACCTCATTTTTCTTCAATGATACCACAAAACCCAAGATTGTACAAACTTGCTAGAGTTTCATCAACCTGTTCTCAGGAGTTATAAGAAATCAAAAGGCCAATAATAAGCAGGTCTTTCTTACACAACTCACCCCCCAAAAAAGGCTTTTACCTCATTCACTGACTAACTGAAAAGCAAACTGGATTGTTGCAGAAAAGGTATGGGAGGGAAATGCCATTCAAGCCACTTGCAGAAAGAAAAATACTGGATCTATCATTCCACTTACACGAGATAATAAGTCTTCAAAATCAGAGAGACAGAAAGTAGAATGGAGGTTACCAAGGGCTGGGGAAGGGATGGAAAGTGGGGAGTTACTCTTTAATGGAGCCAAAGTTTCCATTTTGCAAGATGAAAGGAGTTCTGGAGATGGAAGTGATGACTGTACAATACGAATGTACTTATAACACTGACCTGCACACTCAAAGAAGGTTAACATAGTACATTAGAAGGGAAAAAGAAAAGAGTATTTCTCAAGGTTCAAAACTAAAAATGAAATATGAATGTATATTACATGTTATCATTTTCCACTAAGGTTTCTATTTTACTTCTGAACTCCCAGGAGGCAGAAAATTGAGATGTCTTTTAATTGTTATACACTTTCCCCATTCAAACTCAAGTCTAAATGTACCTATTTTCTTTACAAACTGGATTAGAGTCTTTGGATGGGCTCTAATTAATATAAGAAGCAACAGTGCTAATAAATTAAGTTAAACTTTGTCCAAAAGTCCTACAAAGGTATTTCTTAGACAACCTATCAAATAGTGACAAACAACATTCCCTGATGTTAACTACATCTATTTAAACCTGGGGAACTTTTGTATTTAGCCATAGGTAACTGACCTAAAATGAAATATGAGTTGAGTTAAAATAAACTGCTATCTCCTTACTTAGAAAAACAAAGACCGACTCTCAGTCCTCTGCTGCCACTGAGCTAGTCTGTGTGCCATGTTTTTGCTGTATGTAACTATCCTTAGGGGTCCTGACATCTTTACACAGCTTCTGATGTATCTCCCGTAGAAACATATTTGTTCATGGAATTCCTGAAAACTGAGTTAAATTCTGAAATTCTGATGGTAGATCATGGACTATATTTCAAGTGTGGAAGCTTATCTGACTTCAGCAAAATATGCACTGGCCCCATGGGAATGAGATTGCTTCGTACCGTGTAACCATTTATTCACTCCAAACACTACTGTGTTAGCATTCAGAGACTTGGAGGATAAGGCAAATAAAATAAGACTAAACCTGTCACCATCTTATCTCCACCAAGATATAAGTAACAAATACAAATTTAAATGGTACCAAGTGCTATCCTGCAAAAATATTTTTATATTTTTGCCATGAATTAAGTAAATCTTGACAGAGTAGAGGATTAATAAGTGAAGTTATTAAACTAAAATTTTCTTTAATTTTTTTTTATTTTTATTTATTGATTTCAGAGAGGAAGGGAGAATGAGAGAGATAGAAACATCAGTGATGGGAGAGAATCATCGATCGGCTGCCTCCTGCACGCCCCCTACTGGGGACTGAGCCCGCAACTCAGGCATGTGCCCTCGGCCGGAATCGAACCTGGGACCCTTCAGTCTGCAGGCTGACATTCTATTGACTGTATAAATAATATAAATAAATATTTTTATTTATATAAAAATATAAATATTTTTATAGCGTTAAGATATATTGTGACTATCCTTGCCGTTAGATGTGAATCATCCTTAGAGTCCTGCGCATGGCCCATACTTTACTATGGTTGCCACTTTAAGCAGCGGAGGGGTCATTCACTCCTTACACTCTGCAGTGCTGAGAGGAGGCAGGTCCATCTACACCATACCATCAGTGCTATCACAGAAGTAAGTTTTTGGGTGGGCCAGAGGAATGTGGAACTCTCCCCTCTCCTTCAGTTTTTACCAAGCCACGCTACCTTGAAAGCCCGAGCTTCCGAGTTCCTGTTAGCAACCGTCTGGGCCAACAGGCTCTGCCATCCCATTGGATCGTCCTTGTAGGAGAGCTGGCCTGCTCTAAGCTTCACATATAAAACCCCATCCTTGGAAAGGATTGACCTGAAAGGAAATAAGACTGAACTTAATATGAGGTATTGCTGGCAGCTCTTGCTTAAAACATCATGTTTCCCAACACCATGTTCCCATGAGATGAAATCTTGACCATTTTCCACTAAGATATACGGTTATTTATTGTGCCTAAAATCAAACCAGTCCCTACAAGAAAGCCAAAATAAAGCTCTGTTTTTCTTTGGTGTCTAGATTCACAGAACTTGTTAAATAAGAAGGCATCCCGACTGTCCTCATGAGTGAGCTTCAAAGGCAGTATTTTATCCGACACGTCTTCATGTTCTCTCTATCCCTGAGTCCTATGAGTCGGACACAGAAGCACCAAATCACTACTGACTGGTTGCAGCAAAAAGAAAATAAAGCTGCAAATCTAAAGACAGAACAACACAGAATACAGCTATTATATAGAAAGTTGGGAGGAAATGGAAAATGAGACTAAATTATAAAAACTTTTGCAAGCTTGTTAAATTTTCTGGAAATATAAAGACTTAATTTGCATATCGCCATAGGTATAAAACTATTACATTAACATTCACTATTCATTAAAGAATTACTTACATATGATGATTTCAACCTACAACCAATCTATCATCAGCTTAATTTTATGACAACAATCTAACAAGAGAAGGTAAAGAGATGCAACAGAAATGTCATCTGACAAACATCAACTCAACTGTCATCAAGCTCCCTTTGTGGGCATACACATCAGCCTTATTTTCTTAAACTAAATCGTTCATTATTGCTCCAACTACAGTTCCATTACTGCCCCAACTTAAGTCACTTCAAGTTTCTCAATGAATAAACAAAAACATTCAAGGTTTTATTTCTAAATTAAAATTTTCACTTTCTCACACAAATGTTTCAAAGATATTGTTCTGAATGAGATAGCAGGATGACAAGAACCATTCTAGATATTCACCTGTAATTTATGTCTCCCCATGTGCTTCTATTCACTTTACAGATATGTCTGAGAAATTCAATAGACTTACTTTAAGTGCTGCGTTCCCTTGCTTAAATCTATGAGCAGTTCCCAGTATCGTGGACCTTTAACTTTAATCTGCCAAGACAAATATAAATACAGTCAACCCAATGCTGAAAAAGTGCCAGTCTGACAAAATGAAACCCATGCTTCACAGAAGAAATAAGAATAACTGGACTGGAAAGAGATGTTGAAAGGTTAACAAACTCCATTTCCAAAGGTGTGTGTGAGTCACGTTCTGAGGCCATCTAACCCACCAGCAAAGGCCTTCCAACTCCCCATGACACCTCCTGGGACTGCTTTTCTATTTCCTGCAGAAAGCGGGAAAGGGGTAACAGGCACCGTGTCTGGCTGTGAAGGTGGCAAGAAGCAGGCCAAAGAGATGGATGAGGATGGCAAGGCTTTCAAGCAGAAGCAAAAAGAGGTGAAGAAACTCAAGGAAAGGTCCCCTGGTTACAGGTAGAATTTAAAAATCTGGCAAACTCTGGTGTGGCTAAGTTGGTTGAGCACCATCCTGTGCACCAAAAGGTTGCCAGTTTTATTCCTGGTGAGGGCATATACCCAGGTTGCTGGTTTGAACCCGTCAGGGTGCAGGAAGCAACTGATCAATGTTTCTCTTTCACATAGATGTTTCTCTCTCTCGCTAAAAAGTTAATAAGAACTTTTTTTTTTTTAAGAAATCTAGCAAAAAAGTGAGCTGCTCCTTAGGCCTACGGCAATGGTGATCCTTAACTCCATTTCTGTTTTAACATCTGGATTCCCTGTCATAACATCTGCTGCCACCTATCGCTAGAATGAAGTGCTCTCTTGGAGCCTGTAGTACATTTAAGAATAAACTTTTGTAATAAATAATAATCATGCAGTGGCTCTCTAGTTCTTCTCTGCCATTTCAGCCTTAGCTGTGAGCTCAGAGTAAACCCAGCCCAGAATCCCACCAAAATGTGTTCTTCAGTCTTCTACCCCGATTCTGTACCACCTGGAATTAAACCTACTCATTTGGAAAGAAAACAAAACAAAAAAACACAGAGAAAGCTAAGGATTTTGTTTAACTATTTTTTATGCTATGCTGCTCTGGTGACTTTATCCCTTGGATAGATCTCCCTAAGTCATATCCAACTTACCTGCTTTAAAAGATGGAGCTCGGGAAGAAGGGTGGGAGCCATCAGTTCTTCTTTGGTTTGCTCATACCACTGAGTGCCCTTAACAAATACAAGAGCCACAATGACGATAGAGTTAGGGCAATGATTTTCAACCTTCTCCATTTCATGGCACACAGAAACTATTTACTAAAATTCTATGGCACACCCAAATATATTTTTTGCCAATCTGACAAAAAAAATAGGTATAATTTTTATTTGTTCACCCCGGCTATTGTTGTATGGGCTGTAGTCATTTTTAAAATTTGACAATTTAAGGGAAAAGAGGTCCGTGCACCTGACCTCTAAATAGTCAGGTATCGCATGTTTTGAAAATTCTTGCGCCACACTTAGTTGGAAATCGCTAAGTTAGGGGGAGCTACAAAGAAGAAACATCTCCACTCTATACTTCTCCTTCCCGCAGTGTGTACAGACTATCAAATAGCACAGCATCCTCTGACACTCAAGTCTCAAAGGGCTCAAGCCTACAACCCACTGTGGGTCCACACCACGTTTATCACGTGGAGCACTGCACTCCGATGCTGGCGATACTGCCAGTCTGCACTTGACAGGCCAAAGGTACTCAATCATTTTCTGAATGAAAGGTACATTATGTGTAATCTAGTCCTGCATCTAAATCAAAGATCTCTTCTCAAATACAGGACTGTGGGCTTTCATGCCCTTTGCTAACCAATCTTACAACAGTTCCAACTCAGTTCATTTTTTAGAACACTACCACCAGCCACATAAGGTTAACAGGGACACTTTCAAACAAGTTCTGAGTATGGAAGGGCAGCTGCTGATCTCTAAGAGTTTAGACTCACAGACTATAAATGAGCCTGGCTGGCTGGCAGGATGTGTGAGAACTGTGGAGGCTTCAGTTTTTATGAGAGTTCAACTCATTACTGCCATTTTTTAAAGGAAACCTCTGAAATACTTTGACCTGCAAAGATGAATGAGTGGTAGTAAAATTACAAATAAATGACAGGTGAAAGTGTTACCTTATAGGTAACTTCTAAGAGGGCATAGCAGGGGGTGTTTGTGTCCACATCCACAGGCACCAGCAGCCGCGGTTCTGCAGCCAGCACGTACAGGTGCCGCAGAGCCTGGAGGTGATACCTGTTCACAGAAAACAGACAGGAGGTAACCAACATGTGACAACAGCAACAGCTCGAGCTCTACACTCCGCTGTGGCCGACAGACTGAACCAGAAAGACGCTAGCATGCTCTCTTCCAATGACAGTTATCTTGAAGGAAAATAAGAAAATCCAATTAAAATGTCATGGAGAAATTCTTTTAAAAATTATAGATATTTGATCCTTTACCAACGAACTCTTTACTTGAGTTTCCAGTTACAAGGTTTTATAGGGTTGTAAAATTTACCTAACATGAAAATATGTAGTAATAAATTGATCATTTATAAAATCAGATTTCAAATATCCTTTGCTGCTCAAAACAGGCATCCCTTTTCCCCTCCTAAGGTATTTACTTTCAGTTCTTATTTTTTCCTTAAGTACTCATAGGGAAGAAGGGGGAAGAAAGAGTGCCAGCTTCCTCAGACAGGAAAGCTCTCCTACAAGGATGTTACACCAAAAATAATGGGTGAGATTATGACAATATTTTTTAAAATTTATATCTTAGAATTTAAACACACAAAGAAAGTTTTTATATTTCAAGATCCCAGGAAAAAAGGATAAAATGAAACCTCATTATATTTTAAATTTTAGTTACAGCAATACCCTCCCCCTTCCCACCAAAATTTACCCACCCCTACAAAACTATTTGAAATAAAATCAATCATGGCCAGAAAAAAACTACTATTTATCAGTTATATAAAGGTTCTTAGTGCTTAACACCAAATTGTTTTTTTTTTAAATAGCTAAACCAACTTATAATATAACCAGTAATGTGTGTGGTTTTCCACTATACTCTCACCAATAGCTGACCATAATGACTTTCCTAATTTATATTAATTTAAAAATAATGTTCTTACGCACCACCTATCATTAAAGTGTGGGCTTCGTGTCAGGCCACTTTGTAAAAGAACGTGTGCTATGGGCTACAAAGCAGTTTAAAGTGATGGCTTTGCTCCACAATGAGGCTTCATCCCTGGGTGGCTGGGGTGCCTTCAGTTGAGCACACTGGTCATCTCAAATGTCATGGGATGCAAGCAGCTACTTCCCTCCCTTACGCCATGCTGTACCGATGTCTAGAGAAATTGGTTTCTTGTGCTCTGAAGGCAAAGCGTTTGTATTGTCAGACTACTCCTATGTGTTTAAGATTTACTGCTCGCTACCACTTTTAAATTGACTGATTTTTTGCTGCATTTTGCTTTTCTTGTCCTTCCCATGTCATTTATATAAAACTTCTTGACATTCATGTAAAAGAGAGAAAAAAGTGATTCATATAGACATTGCCACTAAATCAGACAAATTTCTCTCTTGGAATTAATTATAGCACAAAATATATCATCTTCAGCTCCTCTTGGCTATTACCTTTTGATCAAATTTTCCCTAAAGATAACCTTGGCAGTCTACTTCCAGGTCTAGAGCAATTCTAGTGACTGAAGTACCATGAAAGACAAACCAATAATCAGATGTCCAAAGTTCTCTTCTGGTCTAATACTTTGTAAGAGAAACTTTAAAAAATAGCCCGAAAGATAACTAAGTTCAAGAACACAATAAAGCTAATTTGGAAATGAGTCCCTGGAACCAAAACACGACCAAATTATCCCCTTAGAGAGTTGCAGAGAGATCATGCGGGTCAGAATTACTGGACTCACCGATTGTCAGTGCTGTGAGCTGGGAAGTGTGGGTAAAGGGCACAGAGGAGAGCAGCGATGGAGGAGTTTGAGGTGCTCAGCGAGTACCTGGGAGATAAATTCAGGCAGTACAGACATAATTAATGATACTGTCAAACTTTCACGGCATTCTTGAAAACCAGCTCTTGGGGTATTTATTATGGCAAGGCATACCAATGGCAAGGCCTTGAAAATACATGTCAATGCTGTGAAAATTTCACTTCTTAGTAAGTATGCAAACTACTTCAAGATCATGCACTACTTAAAGCAGAAGCAATATCCCACAAATGCTAAATTACAAAATTTGAACTAATAAGCAACTATTTCTCAAAATAAAAATGGTTTTTCATTATCAATGATAAACTTATTTTATAAAAGCCACATACCCTTAGTAAAGTAAAACCATCCAAATTATTTTAATGTTGTTCAAATTCAGCATGGCAAACAGGCAGGTTAGTCTAAAGTTCTGGAGTTTTTCTTACAAATATTTTGAAATAAAGATGGTACAAGACATCACATAAAACCACTGTTGAAGCTACTTAATATACAAACATATTTTATTCCATACACACACACACACCCTCCAACCGCTTTCCCTGCCAGTCTTTAAATTAGGGTAACAAGTAAAAACTTAGCATTTATCATACACACATATTTAATGAATTTAGAAAGAAAAGATTTCAAAATTTACGTAAGAAAATATTTGACAGGTGCATAAAATAGGCCATTTTCTCTTTACCATTACAATAAAACTAAAATCCAAATGTTGGCTATTAATGTCAGTAATTTTGACATTGAATGTAAGGGTGTACCTGTACTATAAGCGTAAATGTTGTCACAGAGTACACATAACCATGAAACAACCAGGAATCACTGGAAGAGCAGAGGCAGCGTGGGAGAAAACCTACTCAACATGGAAGACCAAGTAGGGTTGTATAGTATGGAATGGTGAAAGATGGCACTGAATAAGAATAAAATCAATGTAGGGTCTTATTTTGAAAGGAAAATAGTATTTCAAAAATGATGAAATAAGAATATTTATACTAATATTTCTACAGCCATTCTTAATTCTATACAATTAAAGAAAGAACAAGTGTACAAAGCCTGTTCAAAGGGCATGCAACCTTTCTGACAACCTCTGCTTTCTATGCCCTGGAAAGGCAAGTTCCAATGTTTAGTTCAGTCTTAAAAAAGAGGACAAATAAACCTATGTGACTTTAGAAAACATGTCAGTAAACCAAGGTCACACACTAGAGCAGGGGCGGGCAAACTTTTTGACTCGAGGGCCACAATGGGTTCTTAAACTGGACCGGAGGGCCGGAACAAAAGCATGGATGGAGTGTTTGTGTGAACTTATATAAATTCAAAGTAGACATCATTACATAAAAGGGGACGGTCTTTTTTTTTTTTTTAGTTTTATTCATTTCAAACGGGCCGGATCCGGCCCGCGGGCCCTCGTTTGCCCACGGCTGCACTAGAACAAAGTGCTGGGGTGCATCACATTCACAGACTGGAAGACTCAACACTGTAACAGATTTCCATTCCTTCCAAACCCATGGAGAGACTCAGTACAATTCTGATCAACATTTTATCAGCTTATTTAGTGTGAAAATCACAAACAAATTCCAATACTGATATGGAAGTGAAAAGCGCCAAGAGCAGAAAACACACTATTGAGAAAGCAATCCCAGTTCGGAGGGTTTCCTCCACCATACATCAAGAACTACTACAAAACTACAATAATTAAGACAGTGTGCTACTGGTGCAAGTATAGATACATAGACCAATCGTATATAACAGCACACAAATAAACACAAGTATGAGAACACTTAATTTATAACAAAGGTTGTTCTGCAGAAGAGTGAAAAAAGATAAACTTCTCAATAACACAAGGCCATCAGTTGGGGGGATGGGAGGCGGGGGGGAGTGCAGAAAAATCAGTTCCAAGTAGATTTTAAATGCTAATGAATAGAAAAGCTAAAAAAACTTCTGGAAGACAAATAGGACAAAAAAGTACAAATCAAAAAATAATAATTCTGCTCATCAAAAGATACCATTAAGAGAGTTAAAAGGCAAGCCAAAGAGTAGGAGGAGATAACTACAACATACAAAACTGACCAAGGCCTCAGGATCACAATGATAAACCAATATGGAGTAGACAATTTGATAGAAACAGAAAGAAGAATAGAGGTTGAATGGGGCTGGGATAAGGGGAAATAGAGGAGTTTTTATATAAAGTGTCTGTATGTTTCAGTTTTGCAAGATGAAAATGTGAATATACTTAATGCTACTGAACTGTTTATTTAAAAATATTTAAGGTGGCAAATTTTATGGTATTTTACCACAAATAAAATTTGAAAAACAAATAAGCCAATATGAAAATAAGTAGCAAGAGATTTGAACATTACACAAGGAGATTTCTAGTTGGTCATTATTATTTCAGGGAAAAGGAAATTAAAACCACAATGAGGCATTACTCATTGGGGTGACTAGCAAGTGTTGACAAGAATGGGGAGCAACTAGAACATCATAGGTACTGATGAACACGTGACACGATGTGAACACTTAGGAGCACTGAAGGCACTGTCTACTGAAATCGATCATACCTATACACCCTTTGACCCAATTCCACTCATAGATCTATACATAACAAACCAACGACATGTATAAGAATAGACATAAGAGTATTATTCAGAGTAGCCCCACACTGGAAATAACACAGTATGTCCACCAACAGCAGAATAAATCAGTAACTGTGACTATTGATTCCTATCATACAGGAATTCAACAACACTGAAACATGACCAATATCCAACAGGGATGAATCTCACAAACATAACATTAAGCAAAAGAAGTCACAAAAAGATACATAATATACGATTCTATTTGAATTTTAAAAACTGGTAAAACCAATCTAAAACTAATTAGTGGTTATCTTTGGGCAAAAGTAAAGTACCAGTGATTAGGAGGGGCATGGCTGGAGTGAAAACAGGTGATATGAGCTATATCTTCATCTATATGGTACTATTGCAAGTAGTTAATTAAGCTGTGCTCCTGTAATTTGCACAATTTTTGTATGCTTATTTTTATTCAACAGAGATCATTAAAAGCCAGGAAAGTCTTATAAAAGGATAAGGTGGTCAGAAATGACAGATAATGGAAAAAGAGAAGTTAAAAACTAAGGAAATCCCATAGAATCTGTTGGCTATAGTGTTTGTGACTTTTACGAGAAAGCACCTTAGTAAAAGGGTAAAATCCTTAAACAGTGGGGAACAAGAAGATTAGCAATAAAGTGCTAAGTTCATACTCTTCTGAGAAATGCAGTGATGCTAACTATGTTAGAATGAGGATGGTAACTCTACTAAGTAGGGCATAAATTAATGGTCAAACCATTAAAAAGCCCTTTTAAAGTGTACTAATGTCTTCAGATAAACTAACAGCTAATCAGAATAAAAAATTTTCATCTTCAAATTCAAAATAAGACACTCTTATAGGTCTTGTTCATGAGCTCTTCATTAAAGAAATATATACTCATTTACCTTCCTCCTCCCAGAAATAGAATTCCAAGGGCCATGTGATGGGCTAAGTGGAAACCATAGTTCATTTCACCACCTGTTTTCATGTGCAAGAAACGACAAAGCTGCAAAACCTTTAGGTTCCCCGAGCCAGCCATAACCATGGCCAGAGACAGCAGCACCACACTCAGGCATGTCTCCAGGTTGTAAGGACCTGTCTGGAAATATGAAAAGAAGACTGTTACATTTCTTTATTATCAACTTCCATGTTACATTTCTTCATTATCAAAAACAAGTAATTAAAAACAAATGTTTATGACTTTTTAAAAAACTATAAAAACAAGTATTTTCTCTGATTGTGAAATTTAAGTTCAATATAGAACACTCAGGAAATAAAATATACAAAAGGCAATAACTATCACTTGGAATAGTAACAACCAAAGAGAACTGCTGTAAAGTTTGCCTTTATTTTTCTCCAAATCTTTTCCTACATTTATATACATTTTTTTTCAAATTGAGACATTACTATACACAATATTTTTAACCTTTTTTAACCTATTATAAGCAATCTCACTCACAACAAAGTCTTCTAGAACATGGTTTTGATAGCTCCATTGTAAAACAATGTATAGATATATTCAAACTTATTTAACCACTTTTAGATTTTTTGATGTCTCTAATTTTCTCATATTATAATGTTGCATAAATCTGTGTGGTTTTTAGCAGGAAATAAAAATCTTGCAGTGTTCCTGTCATAAAGCAGCAATGCCTCAAAAACAACTGCATGTTTACTAAATACTAATTTTTAAAGGCAATTATCAATATTCAGTACTGAGACAGAATGGGGGACAATATGGTTTTTCTGATTTATTCTCTTGTCACAAGAATTAGAGACCTGTGCATCCTTCTAGAATTATCATATTCTCATCTAAATATCCCAGAATAAAAATGCAAAGATAAAACAAACTTCAAATCTCCCATTCTAAATTCAAGCAAACTGCAGGAATTAACAACATATTAAGTAACTGAATTATTGGTGAATTTCCTTTGAGTTTAATTTTATTCCCAAGGAGACTCATCGTGAAAAAAACTTACCACAGAAGCATTAGGTGCAGACAAGTAAGTCATAAAATCTTTTGCAAATTTATGCTGGAAAATCAAAAGAAAAAATTTAAAGTTAAGAGGAAGCATATTGAGGCTTTGAGAAAAAAGGAAACAGAACAGAATAAACTAGGATACTTCTTACCAAACAGTTAAATGCTGATAAGTTTTCTGAGCCAGCAAATCGAAAACCCAGGGACAAACAGGCTCCTGCAATTATGTAGACATGTGCCTGCCTAGAGACAGATTACAAATTTACTATTGTCAATATTCTGCCTTAATATTCATTATTAGTATTATCTTGGGGTAAAAATAGTAATTATTTCTGTTTCTGTTCTTCTGGGGATGCTCAATTGTGCCTCTACTAAATTAGCAGGTTCCTATGCCCTTTTCTTCAGCAGAAATACCAGGTGGCGCTTACTAATAAAATGCACTCTGGCCTGCATGTTTCACATACAGCAAAAGAAGATAATTTTTAAAAACACTGCCATTTTTTTAACGGAAAGGATTTAAAAAAAGGAGTATGTATAAGTTAAATCTCCAATATTGGTTTTTGAGGGCAAGAACACTGTATTTCAGAAACCTAAACAAAAGCAAACAAACAAACAATTCATCTTTCTGAACATCTAGTCAGCAATGGTTAGAAACAAATGAACTCAGAATTACTCAAAAGTTAAGGGCATTACTGCTCTTACAGAGTGCATTTCTATTATTTATCTGACAGATGCTAGGATAGCTCGTTTCTATTCCTCATTTCATAACTTACGACAAAGTTTCCAAATTCAAATCCTCTGAGCAAGGCAATTCAATTTCACTGAGAGAGATACTATTTTCTCTTATAATCTGTGAAAATACAAACCAAGAATACCTGAACATTAATATTCAAGTTATAAATATTTAATGACCTGAAAAATAACATACTGCTTATCATGGTCATGTTATATAAAACAAGCTTTGTCAAACCATTTCATTTTCAAAGGCCTATATTATATTCACATCCATGCAACCCAATTTTAAATCTAAGATGGCCCAATAAAAACAATAACTGAATTGGACTGAATGAACACAAACTAGAGGACTTAAGTATATTCTGAATCAATAGCAGAGCAATAATACTTCAGACCAGTGAGCTGAAATTAAAGATGATGGCTGTAGAGGAGAATTGGGGCAGGAGTGCCGGGAAGCAGCAGGAAAGAGTTAAAGCACTTGGAGAGAACTTCTTAGTCATGGGACGTTTCTAGCATTAAGGTGAGGTGAGGTTAGTCACTAAATTATCTGAGTTAAATTGAACTGTCAATGTGTTAATCTGCAACTACTATGTAGAAACATATCCCTTTCATTTTAGTATAGGTAGTGAACAAGAATTTTTTTTAAATAGAATATCTATCTAGCTTTAACAACAAAGAAGAGACTTGATCTGCTTCACTTAAAAAATACAAATAAAAAAGGAAAAACTACATATTTTCTAAACATATGAAAGCAAATATACAGAACAGAGGAACTCAAGGTTTATTCTTATTCTTTTTCAAAGACTGCTCAGGAGAATAACATTACAGGGTGCTTTCTACAATAAAACAATAAATACTCAGAAGTCACTTATGATACAAACTTCTTATGAACTAAAATAAATAAATCAAAAAACTCCAAATACTTTTGCTCTTTGATAATCTCAATAAGGTAAGCAACTATGTTTGCTGTATAATATAAGCTAGTAACTACTTCCATCGCTCTTCCTCTCATCTTTACTTTTAATGTTGGCTACTATTTATTCAGAAATTGAGTGACATTCTGAAAAACTGATAGAACTCCAAAGTGATACATATATGGATAACCTGATTACAACATTCATATAAATTACAATGTTTTACCTACATCATTATACAGGAATGAAATGCTTCTATTTTGACAGTAGGCATTTGTAAGCTCTTTTTTTGTCTTCAAAAGCAGCTTGAGGGCCTAGGTTTGAAATCCACAGAGCCACATTAGCTGTGTGGCCACAGGCAAGTTTTTTGACTGCTCTATGCTTCCCCTGTAAATGAGAATAGCAGTTCCTACCTTCTAGGTTTCTGTAAGAATTAGAAGGCTTAATCCACTTGAAAACCTCTTAAAATTAACACCTGGCACTTAGTAAGTCCTTTATAAGTATTAGCTATTATTATTATTATTATTATTATTACTATTATTATTATAACTGATCTGTACCACCTCTATCATAACACCACATTGATCATACACCATTTCAAAGCATCACTAAGCCTGTGATGTAAGTAACTGCATGGAAGGAGACCCTTCTTCAATTTGGTCCTTGTCACCTTTTCTATCGTCTCCTAAAGTGTTGTTTTTTTTAAATCATATAAAAGAGTAATCAAAGGAAGAAATGTAATTCTTCAAGGACAAGTTGAGGCACACAGGAAATGAATAAGAAAAGACCACCAAACTCCTCTGTCCAAGGCAAAATCTTAAAGATCTGAAGTCCTACAGCTAGTTTCAGTATGACCCTTGTTAGCCAAGTGAATTTGAACCAGTCTGTCCTCTTTCAATGTAATAGTAATGTACTGAACTCTAGCCAATGTGTACTAGTTACTAAAAACAAAACAATGGAAAAGAACACTAGCTGACTTTGAGGAGTTCGTAGTATAAGGATGCACAGACATTTGGTAAAGAGTTCATTGCTCCCACACACACACAGAGGCAATACCGAAACAACGTTCAGTACGACACTGCATCAGACACACACAATGGAGTCCTTTTGAAAAGAAAAAATTACAATAAGATACACCTAACATAATACTTATCATTTTAACTATTTATTTAACTAATATGTGCATTTAAATGCCACAGGTTAAAAGGTTGATATACAAATATCAATTTCATATTTTATATCAGTTGTATAGCAGCAAGCAATTAGAAAACAAAATTCTACATAAAGACTCCATTTACTATAAAATAAAAGAATATAAAATACTTAGGAGTAAAATTATTAAACTGTTGAAGACCCTGATTTTTTCTGAGAAAAAACTTAAAAAAGGACTAAAATAAATGGATTCTCTATTCTTGGACTACAAGACTCAACTATTTAGTTATCTATTCTCCATACATTTATTTATAGCAGGGTTGGAGAACTTTTTTTCTGCCAAGGTCTATTTGAATATTTTTATATCATTTGAGGGCCACACAAAATTATCAACTTAATAATTAGCCTGCTCTATTTGGTCAAACATTTAATTAACTCATCCCAATGCCTTGGCAAGGGCAGACCAAATGATTTTGCAGGCCTTATACAGATCACAGGCCAGACATTCCCCACACCTGCACTAAAATTATATTCCCTTCTCCCACCTCCCCAC